CCTTCCTGTATTCTGGGGAAATGAAGCAAGAAGTACCTGGGTTCGATCCCTGGATTGGGGAGATCCCCTGGAGAAGGGAATGGCAACACACTCCAGTATTCTGGCCTGGAGAATCCCACGGCCAGAGAAGCCTGCCGGGTTACAGTCTCTGCGTTCACTAAGAGTCGGACACAACTGAGCAACTAACACTGGCTGACCTGGAGAGTGCGGCTCTGGTGTTTACAACCAAATACAGCAGTGTTTGGAATCTGAGACTGTCCCTAGTAGGTGGGAGAGGGTGTGACCCCCTGACCTGGTGGGAAAGTGTGGTTGGAGTTGAGGGTAGCAGGAGCCAGCACTGGAGGCTGAGCCCCCTTGTTGGGAGTGGAGGAGTCTGAAATGGCAGGCGCGAATTAGGGTCATTCTGAGAAAGAGGGTGCATAGTGGGTGGTTAGTTCTAAGCTCCAGGAGAATCCTGAGTACCAAGGTCCAGAGCCAAACGGAGGAGAGATGTGCTGGGGTGCACCTGGGTTGTGGAGTCAGATGACAGCATCTGGGGGCTTCTCTCTGCCGTCCTCACCTATGGGAACTGCTGCTGTTTCCTTACGGTTCTGGCCTTCAGGGCGGATCATCCAGTCCCTTACCCGAGAAAGGCAGGAACATTCAAACACTGTACTCAGGGCTTGGAGGTAGGGAGAGAAATGAAGGTAAGCCGGCCAGGGGCCTGGCAAGGATGATCAACAGAGGTTTTATATCTGGGATGGTTGGATTCTCCCTATCCAGGAGCAGAGGGCGTGGCTAAAGGGTTCCCCCTTTCAATTGCTCAGCTCAGCCTGGCTCTAAGTTTTCATTTCCTTTCATCCCTTTTGGAGCTGGGTTGGGATGAGAGGGTACATACGTTTTCACGAAACAATTCAACTTTTAGGAGTCCATCTTAACAGAAAAAGATGCATTCAAGGATGTTCACTGCAGCCCTGCTTGTGATATTCTAATAGCTCTGTGTGTGTGTGTGTGTGTGATTATTCATAGAAACAGGTCTGGTAGCATATGGTCCAAACTGTTAACAATAGTTACCTCTACGGAAGGAAGGGAGTGGGGAAGGAAGAAAGGCTTTCCTTTGCCTCTGCACATTTTATATGCTTATGCTAAGTTTAATTTTTTTTTTTTTACTATTTTTCTAGCACATATTAATGTGATTTAAAAAGATTTAAAAATCACGTTGTATAAAATCTTGCAATTTAGAGAAATGAACTGAAGTCTGATGCCACAGATTTGTAGTGGTATGGATCCTCGGGGTAATTTTATTTCCTCCAGCAGTTTTTGGCAGTATGGGGGCAGGCCTGCAGGAAGATGGTGTTGAAAGGACCCAGGAGAAGTTGGCAAGCTAAGACACAGGCGCTCAGTAATCATTCTGGGCATCTGACATCAGTTAGCCTATTTAATCCCTGAGGGGTAGATATCGTTAATCCTAGATTTACAGTGAAGGAAAGTGGCTTGGAGAGAGGGCGTGTGGCAGGACTGGGATTCACACCTCAGGGTGTGGGATCTCTCCTGCTTATGGCTGCTTCCAGCTGAGTTCAGTGGAGAGGCAAGGAGAGGAGCAGAAAACTGGGTGCCAGTATCAGCCTTTGAATGCTGACTCCCAGGTGGAGGAGGAAATAAAGCAAGGAGGGAGCACCAGTTGTAAAAAAAGGATCAGCTTAGGTGTAAGAGGCGCGGAAGCCAAGTTGGTTTGGGTTTTACATAGAATAAAGCTGTGTGGAATGTTGCATCTTCATGTCTCTCATGAACTGGGGAGGCGGTCAGAGGACTGAGGAGTCTCCTGGAAATGGCCTGTGTGTGGGGGTAGGGTGGGGGTGGGGGTGCCAGGCTGGCCTCTGTCCCTTGGCTGAGTCCTTTCCCAGTCCCATTGACCTCTTGCAGAATAAGTACTGAAGTCGACATTCAGTGACAAGCCTGGTGAGGGGTCAAGCAGTCCTGTTTGGGGGTCCCTGCAGTTGGGGGGATAATGGATTGGGGTGGTGGGGGAGTATATTCTCCAGCATGTCACCAACTTCCAGGTACCCAGATGGCTGGGGGGGGCCTCTCCTGCAGCAGGAGTGGGGTTGTGTGTGTGTGCTCTCCACACATCCACGTGGAGGGCTTCTTCACAGGGGCTCAGGAGTCCTGGGTGAGCAAGTGAGTGGCACATGCCAGTGAGGTTTGGGTTAGTTCTGTCACTGTGACTCCTTTTGTGTCCCTTGTCATTGAGGTCTGGGGAAACTGGGTAGAGAAGTGTTCAGGGACTTTGAGGTTCAGATGATGGCCAGGGAAGGAGGGCTGTGGTGGAATTGGTGTTAGGCAGTCGAAGCTGAGGTGAGGGGGGAAGCTGTGACTTCCTGGAGTGTTCCAGGCTGAGTTCCAGAGTATGGATGAATGTGAGTGGGGGGTTGTTCCTTGTGACCCCAGAAGTAGGCAAATGACTCCCACCATTCCTGCCTGCTCCTACTTCATTCTTGGTTTTAGGTCTCTAAGTTTAGTGTTCCTAAATTGCAGACCTGGAAATCAGTTAATGTGCCTATGCAACAGTTCTCTGAGAACAGAGGGTAAGTGACCAGCTCAGGACAGCACAAGGCTGCGCTGGAGGCCAGCAAGAGGATCAGGGTCAGCTGGGGGTAAGTGTCCTCACCCCTAATTAGAGCAGGGCTCAAGGATTTCCAGAGAGAGGCCAGGACAACAATGTCCTGTATTCGAAGGTGGGCCCAAGAGGCACCCTGGAATGCCAGAAGGAGGCAGGGTCAGTGCTGGGAGTTGTCAAGGCCAGACTTCTCAGTGAGGCAGGGCAGGGAGGTCAGAAGGTCTGAGACAGACTTTCAAACTCTCTGATGGTTCAAAGCATTTTCTTCACCAATTACTCTTTATTTAGAAGAGTCAAGGTTCTGCCTGGAAAAATTACCTTCTAAATCCAGCAGCACAGAGGCAGAAAACACTGCAGTTTTGGTAGAATTACTGGTGATAGTAAAAATCTTCCCTTGTGTCTTTTAAGACATCGTCATTGAGCCGTTGGTACTTTTATAAAGCAGGGAGGCGTATTATGATTATTGCTAAATGTGCTTAAACGTGATAATGTAAGTCATGTGCCAGTGGCTTGGGCCAGCTAGGCTAGTAAAGAGGGCTGGTAGCGGGAAGCTACTCCCTGGTTACCAGGCCTTTCTGCTCGGCTGCCCTCGGGGAACTGCCCGGTGCCCACCTCGGGCCCTAAAGATCCCTGCTGCAGGGGGCGCGAGGGGCTGTGGATCTTAGGTTCCCTGGCACCCTTAAGTCTGAGCCACCGCAGGGAACCCGGCGCTGGAGCCCCTGCGGCAGTGCCAGCGCCGCAGCAGGGACTCCAGCCCGGAATACGCCTCCAGGTCTTCATAGTAGCCGGGACCAAGGCGGGAGCGGCGGCACCTCAGGGTCGTTCCAGGGCCGCGCTAGGAAAGGTGTGGAAGGCGGCAGAGGAAAGGGACCCGCCGTGCCGGGGGTCTCGGCTGACCGCGAGCCGCCGGAGATGGAGGGGCGGGAGTGAGGGTGGGTCCGAGGTGGGCAGCTCAAGGATACGTGATGCACACCTAGGGGTGCCACCCTCCAGTTGATCGTGGGAGGGGACCCAGGCACAGAGAGCCTAAGTGATTCGCCCAAGGTCACACAGTGAGCGGGTGGCGATGTGTGTGGGGTGCCCTTCAGCCAATGCGCCTGGCGTCATCACAGGCCTCCTCTGGTTAAGACAGTAGGAGGGCATCCCCAGCCTGACACGAAATGTGGCTTCTTGTCATCCCAGCCTCCCAGTCGCTGGTGTAGGCGGGTCTAGGGCTCCAAGTCTTGGCGCGCGACGACACGGACTGAGCCCGAGTCAGTAACACCCGGCACCCCCCACTCCCAACCCCGGCTCTTGAATGGCTCAGAGACAGGGCCCTGACCGAAGTCACGCAGCTGCTAAGTTTCGGAGCCGGGATTCGAACCCTGCGGTATGGGTTTCAGTGACCACAGGCCGGAGATCAGAGACCACTGGCTCGGGAGTGACCACGTGCGGCCTTGGGTAAGTCGTTCTCCCTCTGGCTGCCCGGCCGCGCGCCCCTCCCGTCGTGGCCGCGCATGCTCCATGGCGGGCGGAGCCGGGAGGCGGTGGCGGGCGCCCCAGCTGCTTTGCATTGACGCCACTACCCGCTGGAGGTCACCGCTGGGGGCTGGGCGCGGCGTGCTGCCGGCAAGACCCGGCCCGGAATGTGGAGTCGGAGCCGAGCCGCGCCTCCCGCAGCTCCCCGGCGAGCGCCCTTCAGCGCTTCTCGACGGCGCGGCCTCAGGTCCGCGTCCCTCCGTCCCTCCCGGGATGGACGCGGCCTTGCTGTCCCGACGGGATTCCTCCGGCCCGCACCGCTCAACGGCCAGAGATCTATTCTAGGTTTCTCAGCCACCAGCCCTCGGACCAGGGGCATTTATCCGTGGGGCGGCCGGCGGAGCGACGTGAGAGCCCGGGGCCTCTGGAGGCGGCAGCCACAGCGCCTCCGGAGCCGGAGCGGGCGTAGCCCAGAGCTCACCTCCCCTCGGGGGGTCGCGCCGCCTCCCGGCGAGGGCGGCGTCGCTCGCGCGGCGGGGACTTGTCGGCTCTCGGGCCGGGAGAGCGCAAATCTCCTCCCCCGAAATTCCCCGGAAGCGCGGCGCGGCCGAGGCGAGCGCGGCGATGTGAGGGGAGGCAGCCGGCGGCTCCGTCCTCAGGAAGAGCATGTTCGGAGGGGCGGCCGCGGTGCGCTGCCCGCCCCACCGCCCCCTCCCCACCGCCGCCGCCGCCGCCGCTGCCGCCGCCGCCACCGCCGCCGCCGCCGCCGCGCCCGCACCGCGATAAAAGGGGCGGCCGCACTTCCTGACGGGAGACCCGCGCTCGCCGCCGCCGCCCGCCCAGGCGGCGATGACACGGCGCACGCGGCGGCCCCGAGGCGCCGGGCGGGCCGTTTACTGACCGGATCGCGGCTGCCCGCCAGCGTGTCCGCGGCGCTGCCGCCAGCATGGGCTGCGCCCCGAGCATCCACATTTCCGAAAGCCGGGGGGTGTACCCCGGCGGCAAGGAGGCCGAGGACGTGCCGGGCCCCGCGGCGCCGCCGCTCGCGCCCGGCGGGCCGAGCCTCCCACCCGGCCAGAAGACGGCCGCCTCGACCCGGGCCCCCGGCTCCAGCCTTGCAGAGTCCGAGCCTCGTGGAGGCAGCGGCAGCAAGGTAAAGGGACACCGGGCGGGAGGCTCCGGGGCTGCGGTCCGCGGTGAAACTCGGGCCCCGCGGGGCGGCAGCCTTCCCGCGGGGCCGGGCGGGGCTCCGTCCCCGGCCGCGGTGCCCTCTCGGCCGGCTTTGACGGACGCCCGCGGACCGTCCTGGCCGGGGCGGCGCCGGGAGGAGGACCCCGGTCCCTGGGGGCCCCGCTTAGCCGAGTTGTGAGGAGGACGCTCCCCGAACCGCGGCGTCGGTTCCTGGGGCACGTCTGTCGCGCCGTTTGGGGCGAGGGACCGCCGTGAACTTGACCGAGGCGTTTGAATCCATTCCCTACCGGACAGCGGGTGCGGAAGACACCCCCCCCCCCAAACCCAGGCCCCCAGGATATTCTGGCGCGACCCTGAACGTTCAGTCAGTGTGAACTTTGTTCTGGTTCTCGTGGTGGAAAGGGAAGGGCGGCCAGCCTGTGAAGCCGGGGTACTGGACCCTACCGCCCCGTTGTGTTTTCCCTGTTTGGGCTTTGCACAAGCCTGCAGTTTTCCATTTTCTTTGGACTATTTAAAATGTAATCTGGAATATCAGCTTTGCTTCATTGCACATGTATTTGAGGTCCCGGTTTATTAGCATGCATGTTGTTCTTAAAGCCTGTCTAATTAGAAAATACTATCAGAAACCCAGTTTTTGAAGCATTCAGCAGAACGAAGTTAATTTATCAACTAGTCTTACTGGGACATTTTGTAACTTTTTAAAATTGCGTGTCTTCTCCAGCGCCTGTTGCCTAGGCTGTGTTTAGCCAAAGTTTCTGGGCTTCGTCCTTGTTAAGGTTTTGTAAAAGAAAGGTGTTTTTCCTTTTTTAAAAAAGGAAAAAAAGTTCATGAAGACAGACTGCAGACACTTTCGGGTTCTGTGATTTGAAATTTTAGAGCTGGAATTCACGCGTTTGTTTATTATTCTAGGGGGACATATTCCTGTATGCATGGCTATATAGATTGTTGAGGCTCATCAGTCTCTTTGCTGCTGTATTTTAAGAGTCATTTGTAGAATTGTCTTGATTTTCTTGCTCACTGCTAGATCTTCCAGTTAGAGGGTTAGAAATTGGTTCATTTTCTCTCTTAAATTTCCAGCAGTCATCATGACTTTTCTACATGAAAGTGAAAAGTCTTTAAAAGTCTTTTTCAGTGTTGCATAACCTAGATGCAACACTCCCCCTCTCATACGTGCTCTGAAAATTCAGGTTCACTCTGTCCATCAGATTTGGGAGTCCTTCTGTGGAGTCATTGAAGAACCCTGTGATAATTTTCAACTACCTACCTAAGCTGCTCTTAATACCGTTGTAATGCTTGTGGGTTAAGCTACCTAATTGGCTTTTTTTTTTTTAAGTGTTACACAGGTGAAGTTGAATAGGGAAGCTTTAACAGCTTTCAAGTTTTTGACCCAGATCTGATATTGGTTATCTTATATTAAGTAATATTAAGTTTTTAGTTAACACGAGTAGCTTTTCAAGAAGTCTTGTGCCTTATTGGCCTACTGGGGGCAGTTGTGGATGTCCTGAATTCACCCAGGTGTCTTGTAAGCATCTCCAGTGCAGCAGTTTGCTCTCTGCCACCCACTTTGCCAGGAGGACCCCTGAGTTTCTAAGAGTCTTGCCAGGCCATTGTCTTGAGTGGGGACCCAGAAAAATACATTCATCATTACAGTGCTTAATCCAGTGGCGTGCATATAATAGGTGCTAAATAAATGTTGAATTTGATTTTTGTTATTAACGAAATGATGAAACTTTTTCAGCCACTGGAATTGGATTCCATAAAACCTCTGGTGCAAGATTTAAGGTTAGTTTTTCAAGAGGAGGAGCCAAATTATAAATAACACCACAGTCACAGAATTAATAGTCCCATGCTTGTTATTCATGAACTACAACATGTTGATACCACATCTCAGTTACAGATATTTGTAATTAGGCCTGTCAAGTGAGCCACCAGGGAAGCCCATATCAAGTGACGGTGGTGGTTTAGTCACCAAGTCGTGCCCTGTCAAGTGATGGGCAGAGGTGAATATCAGCATATTTTTAATTCACTATTTTTCTCTTTAAGGGAATGAATCTTCTGAAATTAAGATACTCAGTATGTTCTGGAAATTTAAAAACCCATGTTTAGAGAAGATAAGCTTTCAGCAATTTAGCATTATTACACAATGAATTTAAATTCCCTTATATAAACATACCAAGATCCAATTTTAGCTCATTAAAAAATACTTCATATTAAAATATAGTAAGTCAGCTTATTGAATGAATTCCAGTCAGAAATTCACTGGGGAAGTTTTTGTATTTCTGTACCATGTAGTAAAAACTAGTTTATCAGAATGCTTGGGAGATTGATAATCAATTGCATTTTCACAGTAATTAAGCAGTGCATCCCCTACACCTGTAGTGTATCCCACATGTGTTCCATGAAGCAATTTGTGGACCGTTAATAAGCATTAAATGGATAAAGGATCCGTGGTCAAGTTAGTTTGGGAAATACTGGCTCAGGCTAAATTTGTCAGATTTCTTTAATACAGGATTTGTCAGAAAACGTAATTTCCTAAAACACACTGTGAAACTCCAAGCCAAGAATGTGCAACACTTGCCAAATGTGTTTGATTATGGAGCCCATTTGTTGAGGTGTATCTTAGGCAGGCCGCATGGTAAGTCTTGATTCCGAGCGTGAGATAACCAGGACTCAAAGTGCAAGAATACACTGAAGAGTGCGGCTCAGAGAGTAGGATTTGCTCCTTAATGGTTCCAAAGGTACTTCAGGACCTCGTAATACCCGAGGCTGGCTCATCTTTATGAACTCGTTTAAGTATTACTAAAAATACGCTGGCTGTTTATTCATTTCAGGAGTTATAGTCTCTGTGGTTACAGATAATGAATGCTGTGTTCAGTTTGAACACTTACAGTTTTGTTTTGTTTTGAATCAGGGTGCACTTTAACTGTAACATTTAATATTTTCTTGTCAGTCTTTAGATTTACTCCGTTTTCCTTTTCCTTGGCTAGGACTCTGAGTTGCCCTTGAAAGATCTGAGTGTGGGGGCGGGAGTGTCCAAGGAGACCTTCTGCTCCCCCCTCTCCCTTTTTGGAGACACGCAGGGAACAACTAAAGGTGGGTCCGCCCTCTCCCCCTGTGTCACTCATCAGCCCTGTGAAGGGGCAGCCCCTCTGTTTTGATCACTGCTGTGTTCACGCCCGCGCCCCCCCCCCCCCACACACACACAGTAGGCCTCCCACAGACATTGGTTGAATTGGAGAATTGTGTGAACTAGGCTGTTAGAAGTGGAAAATCCAGCCAGCCCTAGTAAAGGAGAAATAGAAACTAGTTTTACCTAGAGTGGAGGCTGTAGAATTTAGACTTGAGTTTTTGGAAGTGTCTGGTATTCCTTTCTCAGCGCTTTTGTACCCAGGAAGTAATCCATCTTCGCTCTGGTGAGCCCAGGTTTCCCCATGAAGATTTAAGGATTAGTGCGGCAGGGTGGGCAGTACACAGAGGTGACCAGTAACAGCGCGGCCAACGCTGACCTCTCACCAGGGGTTCCTGCCGTCAGCTCTCAGGCCGACTCTGTCCTTCTCTAGTATTTGCTGTGTCATTTTCTTTCCCTCCACCTAGTTTTCTCTTATTTTTCACCACCTTCCCCTTCTTCCCAGTCTTTTCTCCCTTCTTTTCCCTGCCAGCCCGCCATCCTCCATAAAACTGGTGACATGAATCACCCTAGGCCATCAAAATTTGCTGGTTTCTTAGTGTTTCCTAGCTCTGGAATAAAATTTGTTGCCTACTGCTAATATACAGAGTGGATTAGTCCAACTCATATTTCCCTAAAAGAAAGTAAAGTTTTCTTTTTGTGTGACCTGAGTGACCACTCTCCCCCCGCCTCCCCAAGTAGGGTCATTGACCCTTGAATTATAGATTATATAAATTACTGAAACTTTCCCTGTAAAAGTTTAGTTGAGAAAATGGGACCCAACTTTCTGTTCCTGAAGTAAGAATTTTATCTTGAGCTCATGGGCTCTGAGTTCTCTAATCCTTATGTTCTTATGCCTTTTGGTGTGTAGAATCTCATTATCTTGCCAAGCCTAGCTATAAAGATAACTGCTTTTTAAATTTTCTTGAATGCCTATTATATACATAAATACTTTGTATTATACACTTTTTTTTTTAGTGCTTAATGTCATTACCACCATGACTGTTAAGTGTGGTTCTTAAGAGTGATGTGATGAAGGTCACAGCTCTGTCAGCTCAGACCTGCCCTCGGCCGGCCTTGACCTTCTTCTTGCTGGAGTGAGTGTTCGGTCTCTTCTGGCATAAACGTTCCCTGTCAAGTGTCTTGTGATGCTGGTGACCCCTTGGACTGCTTGCCTGTTTGGATTGGGTTCCTCCGTAGGGGATGGTTCGGGATGTGAGGCCATGGGGTGAGGCAGTCATCTCCGAATTACCTAAAATGCCTTAAAAGGACAGAATATCTTTAAAAATTAAAAAGAAATCAGAAAACAGAGGGAGAAGTTGACTGGCACATGGGTAAGCCCTTCGATGTATCCGCTGTTGGTGGCTCCTGCCTGGTTTCTCTGCACACAGGGGTGGGTGGTAGGAGGCCTCGGACTCTGAGGTTCTGGGAGTGCAAGCTCTTTGTCCGAGTTGCACCTGGCTTTCCGCGATGCCTCCTCTGTTGTAGGCACTTTGCTGGATGCCTTGTGGACCTTATCTCTCTTCAGCCCTGTGAGGTGGCTGGTGTCATTTCCCTTCTGCAGAATAGGGGGCCAAAAGTTAGAAACTCACCCAGGACCAGACAGTTAAGCAGGGATGCAAATCCATTGTTCCTGGCGCTTATCTCCTGGCTGGTTGCTCTGATAACCAACCACCTGTCCCAGTGTTATATCCACCATTCTTTGGCCTCCCACTCAGCTATGAGCATCGTGGGTCCACCTGGGCTTTAAGCAGGCATCCTGAATCTGTTACTAAAATTTCAAGTCTTGATTTACT